AAAGTCGGAAATCCGATTTCGGATGGCATCATTTTCGTTTTTCACCTTGCTTGATACGTAAGAGGTGTTTAAAAGTCTCAAGCGATTCCGGCCTTACTTGATAGCTTTCAGGAGCTGCATCTCGAATGGTAAGCCTGAGTAATTATTGTATCTGATGTTTGTTTTTTTATATCTAGCCTCATGAAGTCGAGCACAGTTTATGCGGCAAGTTAATTATGCACGTTTGTAAGATTTGAGACAATGATCTCACCTAGTATCAGGTTTGACATAAGCTTACAGAACTTTAAAAAGCCTTTAGATATATTTTCTCACCGCAAATAGAAAGAAAACGTTCCGAAGAAAATTTGTAATAAATTTGCCTGTAGAAAGAAAACTTTGAGCGATTTTCTTGCCTCGAGTTCATCTTTGAAAAGAAGCAAACACTGGGAAGCTGGCTTAAAACATAAACTTAAAGACTCAGGATTTTTAGAGACACTTCAATACTTGTCTTCGTGAATGAAAATTGCTGTCTCTTTAAATGTTTCACCGAATTATATTTCTTTTATTGATTGTTAGAAGTCTCTTTTGCAATTTTAATCGCTGTGCTGTTTGTTTTCAGTCTTTCATGAACATCTCTTGCAGGAGTACTCAAAATGTCGCTCGTATCAAACGCTTTTCAAGATTACACATCGTTATAAAGCCATTAAATGAAAAAAATTAACGTAATAAATTCGTTATTATGTTGAAGCGTAACTCTATTAATGTTCATTCACACACTCGACCGCTTGTCAAAAGTGAGAACCGGCTGGTTTTGGAAATTTTTTTGAACAGTTTCGCTAAAAGCCAACGATTGATCGTCCTGAATATTGACTGAGTGCAATTTGTCTTGAAAATCAGTGAAATAACCTCATTCTGTCTGAGGTCTGTATGATAAATACAGCGCCTCCTAGTACTGTTTCACCTCAGATGTGATGTATAAAAAGTATGAAAGGTTGGTTTACACACCTCCAGATTTGTTGGCAAGATTTTGTAAAGTAAACTTATTGAACGCAAAAGATTCGGCCTGATTTGTTTTCCAGGCCTAATCTACTGTGATCAAGAGCCGTTGTGGCTCTTGAATGTGATCGAAGATGATTGCTATTTTTTGGGTGAACATATAAGTCAACTCGATGTGAGATGTTTCACTCTAAAATCACTTAGCTTTTCCCTCAAAAGCCACATGAATGTGCCCTTAAGTTAACTGATTTGTGGATTACAAGTTTATTGTTTGATTTAAATTATATATTTATTAATGGGAGCTTCGCTTTTTAGCCCTGGCTAAATCTATATATTAGTTTTTGGTATATACACACTCAGTGCTCTTGGTAATTCAAGCAATCTGATTAGTTTGCTATCTCAGACTATGACATATTCACTGCCCAAGGCGGTGAATATAAAGCAAAACAAAATCGCAGTCGTAAATTGGGTGTTTTGCCAAAGTTCCAGATTAAGAACTGTTTGAAAATACACGAATATCCTAGTACTGATGATTCTGAAGGTAAGAAAAGACTTCATGGAGTTGAACAGAAGCAAGGCCATTTTTAGGTCCACGTTAAGTGTTATTTTTTGCATTTTACTCTGGCTAGTTTGACTAAATAATGCTCATTTTGGATATGGTTTGAAAGATCTCCTTCCCCTGCCCAAGTGATGTAGTTGTCTATGAATGTGAGAACTGATGACCTCTTGAGTAGGTCAAGGGATCTGGATCAGCATCATGTGTGATAGCAGGCATTTCAGGGTCAGGGCTCAAAATACATGTAATGGCTGGTTAAGGGACAATGTCTGGCCAGAAATGGTGACTTTAAAATTGACCAGCCAAAAACTTCACTCACTGGTCATCTTGACGGTCACACATGCACTCTCATGGCTGAAAAACAGCCAAATCCTCACTTGTAATAATATTTTAGACTCAGCCAAATTATCACCTGTGAATCATAGACTTTATCTTTTTGTTTAAAAATACATGTACATTCACTTTTTCCAGTAGAAAATCACACATAAGGGTAAGTTAACTTTTTTCCCAATAAAATTATTATCTTTACCAGTCAGAAACTAAACTTGACTGGGCAAAAATTTCTTTGGCCAGTTATTGTGTTCCGCCACCTACCGAAAATAATTTGAGCCTTGAGGGATGAATATGTTAAGGTTGGTCATGGCTGTTGGGTGTGTTTTTTTTTTATATTTTTGTCGCAGGGTATTGATATAATGATCTGTGTTATTTTGTAGTTGGTTGCAAATGGATGCTGATTTGTAGATGTGAACATTGTGGGGACCAAAATTGTAGATGGAGCATGCCTGGTCTCTCTAGACAAAGTTATTGAAACTGGACAAATTATACGAACGAAGAGGTGTACTATTTCAGATTTTGGTGAAAAGCTTTTATGTTATAATCCTCCTACACCAACCAACGTTGCCCACTGTTGTTACTACAACATGTGTAACACAGACATTACTCTTTCTTTTCCAACAGCCTCAATAATTTCGCCATCTAAATCAGGTAGAGGCCATAAACTCACAAAGGGGTTGAAAAGTGTAACTCGCGTTCAGTGCTCGTGAATATTCACTTTTACCATATTTGGAAACCTTATAGTGAGAGATATCCATTTTCGACAAATCGCTGCTGCGCGATGACTATGCAGATGTTTTAAGACAAGAGTTCTGTATTTCAAGGTAAAAATAGACCGTTAAAAGAGAAAAAAATGGAAAGAGAAAGTTCAAAAGAATGCTCAGCTTTCTTTTTGTGGAGGAAGGGAAGCTTTTCATCAAGAAATCGTCCTCCGAGGAATTCAACCTTGTTTTCTTCCCGACGGAGCGCATGGTCTGTTTTGAAATGCAACCAAGGCAGTGAAGTTTTTGGTGAATTTTCAGGTACATTTTGCACTCCATGGACAAGACAATTACGTTTTTGAAAGGGAATTTATGTATTTTTAAATGTTTGATAGACGTTTTATAAGATCGTGACTACAACATCCAAGCTGAATTTAAGCTTAAATGCTTCTCACATTCATTACACGCATCACTTTTTTTTTGCGAATATGTCAGGTTCAGGTTTTGGACACTTTTCGATACGCAGCTAATGAATTTTATTCGAAAATGTTTTTTACTGTTCATTCATGGTCCACTCTAGACTTTTAGTACAAGAACTTTTAAAGCCTATTTGCAGTATAAGTTTACTGTGCAGAGGGTAAACGAGGCATCGTTTTTTGAATTGTCAACTTCAAGAAGTTGCGAGGACGTCAATGGGTTTCAGAATGTTATGTTTGGCCCGGGTGGTAAGGCAATAGTATCCTGCTCAGTGCTTCGGTAAGATTCCTGGATTCAACCTTCGAAAGCTTTCTCGGCTTTCGGGAGTTTTTCCCCCGTTTGTCGGCCATTTTTTTCAAGCGGGCGCGGGAACCTGAAGTAAAATTACGTCACGTTGTTTACGAAGTTTGATTGGTCAGTTATCTCTTCTTCTCCTTCCAAATATGGTACTTTCGAAAATGAATAATCACGAGCATCGGACAAAGCAAACATATGAGAGTTACACGTTTCAACCCCTTATGAGTTTCTAGGTAGAGGTAAATGGCTACTTTCAGACTGTAAACAAGACAATGAACTTGCTTAAAACTACATTTAGGAGCTCTGAGGAGCTGCAGGACAGTTAATATTTAAGAGCCATTGTCAGAGAAAACCGGGCGGTGCCAAAAGATTGGGGTCAGCCGATTTCCTTTATTTTTTCAGCATTAAGAACCAAGCTGATAAGATTAACTTTGGTGACATTAACAAGATTTCCCGGCTTTTCACTCTCGAGATTGACCACCCCCCTTGTTTTTGGCTAAGGGAAGCCCTAAAAACCACCAAAAACAATGGCAATTTCTCGGGTCTAAAACAATTTTTCCTTAAGGAATTAGTGCACAGATTTTTTTCTGAAGCTAAAGTACCTTAAAATAAACGTTTTGGATGCATAAAATCAAGTTTTTAGTGTAACGGTAATTTTGCCCAAGGGTTTTAATCCGGGTATGTTGCGTGACTGTAACAGGACAGCGAATTTCGGCGATTTTCTAAGCCCATTTTCTTGAAAGTGCGGCGGTTTATTTTTTATTTAATTACAGATTTAAACAGTCTATACCCTCCTAAATCAAAAACAAAAGTTTATTGATCGGCACAAGAAACTCTTTTCACGCGAATTTTGTTGGAAAATGTCAAAGATCGCTCTTACGGCTAACTGCTCGCTGAAGTTTAAATAGCGGCAATACTGCATTATAAAGGTACTAATCCATTTTAAATGAGTATTTTATATTCCACTTAGGTTTGAATAAAGGGAAAATAACTATAAAATACTATTGCTTTAACGTAAGGGTTATACAAGACTGCCATCATGCACGCAAAGGTCTCAATTACTTGGTGCTTCGATGATTATTGTCTGGCCTATGCGAGTTAGCCAACAGGACGATGTATGTGCTGTCCTATCTAGTGATAAAATCATCACGACTTTTGTATCACATCATCCAACAGAAATTCTCAAAGTTTTCGCTTTGTATGCAAAGTTTGTTACATACCCTGCGAGGAGATGCTACATTTTGTCTGTGTGACCTGTCGTGCGAAAAGTAGCCTCTACCGACAACCGTTCAAATCCGTCCAGAAATCTGGACGAATAAATTTTAAAAAACGGGTTTTTTCCTTTTCTTGACCGGTTTCGAGCATTGCGTGAGTCTTGCTTAGCAGATCAGAGTTGTCGCAATTATTTTTATTCCCACGAAACTCGCGCCATTTGACGACAGACGTGACAATTAATTTTGCTTGCGAATGGCGTGACGAATTTCGCGCATGCACGATAGAAAATTGAACGGTTGTCGGCAGAGGCTACTTTTCGCACGACAGCTCCCACAGCGAAAATGTAGCCTTTGCTCGCAGGATATTTGTTACATCGATCACTACTGACAAAGCCCAACAATGTATTTTATAAAATGCGAGAGAAGAATACGTCGTGCAAAATTCAGTTATTTCCGACATGAGCACAACTTAGCGTAGGCATCAAGTGGTTCAGTAAAAGTACGTTTTCTTGAGTTGCTACCATTTGTTCGCAGACTAAATGCTCTGCATACTTCTCTCAACTGTGCTAACTTCAGCGAACTGAGCTTTCCAGCACGCGAAAGTTCACAAACGTTTACTGCTTCTACTTTAATAGGGTGACTGATATTTTGTTCAATGTCTCTGTAAACCTCCTGGCGTATGGCTTGAATGTAGTCTTCTGATTCAAGGGCTATGAGGTCTTCGTCTGTTACTTCTTGTTCCTCCTCCTGGCTCTCTATTTCATCAGCTTGTCTTTGGCGCTGCAACGCTGACATCCTTGCGAAAAAGTTACTAATTTGTTGAGCGGTTCTCCATTCGTCTGGTTTAAATTGTAACGTTCCACTGCTATCTCTAATACTCTTCATCTCTCTAGCCACGTGAATTGGATCAGCCTTTTGCCCTCCCGCTACTCCTTGGTTAAATTTCTGAACAAGAAAGGCTTTTACTTTCTCTTCCATCCTGTTGGCCCGCTTAGTTGATTTAAGCGCCCACCCTTTATTACGGCGTTCTCTAGCACTGGAAGGCCCGGCTTCTTCAAATGCAATTCGCTGTCTATCTCCGCTAGCCACATGCATCTCTCCGACTCGGTCAGCCCACTTCTTTCGTGCCGCATCGTACACAGACTCACAATCTAGGTCTGACGCACGTACATGCTTCCCTGCGTCCATGTGAGCTTCCGCTTCTTCTCGAGTCTTGAACGTTAGCACGCATGTACTTTCACTGCATGAGAATATTTCTCCTCGTGGACTGGAAGCATGGCTAACTGAGCCAAGATTGTTGCTACGTGGACCCCACTCCTTTAGGACTTTCAATCCAGTTTCTTCCTGTGGTACAACTTCAAGCTGACTGAATGATAAGAATCTGCCGGGTCCAACGTTGAATGCACGCCAAGCGCGTATTCCGTTTTCCTCAAACGAAAAGTTGTTAAGAAGGCTGATACCTGGTATCTTGTTGGCGGTGATTTCTTTATTAGTGTCCACTTTGACAACTGCCGCCCTGACTCCTTTTACTCCTCCATGCGACTCTAGTGCTGTCTTCATGTCTTCCGCAGTGATGACATTGTGTTTTTCATTGACCCATCGTCGTAGGTGTGCCTTCATAGGAGCGGTCTTTCGGTCACAGATGTCTTTTCCGGACTGTGGCTCTGAAAAGTCGTAACGCAGAATTGTCATGCTGGTTCGTTGACCAATGAACGGAAGACTGAGCAAAAGAGGTCCACTATGGTAGCAACCTGCGTTATCGGATCTCAGGAAAACATTTTCAATCTCCGGTGATTCTTTCTTGATGGTATTTAAAAGATGCTCTATTATAGAGGCTACAGCAAAGCTGTTCTGCGTGCAGTTATCGAACAGATGGACAAAACATTCCACTTGGAATTTTTCAGTATGCTTAGTGATCACAGCACTCACATGCCAGCTTCGTCCTCGTTTTCCGAAGAAATCACTCATTCGTTCCCGATAACGTTGTGGGAGGTATTTCATGGCCCAATCCATAACGATTAAACATGAAGCTGAATCAACATGTACAAGAGCAAATTGCTTTCCTTCTTCTTGATTTACTGTGCGGAGCAAATGCGCCTTCCACTCCTGGATAGATGCCAAACAGAGTTTGTAGTCGTGGCTTAACCGCCATCTGTGCTCCTCCGGCATCTCAACACGGTTGATCTCGTATTCAATTTCCTTCAAAACTGTCTCTAATGATTCGCATTGCTCGCAGTCAGTTTCATGTTCGTGCTGACATATGCTTTGCAGGTTGGAGTCACTTGTGTCACCTAGGGCATGTGCAGTGCAGTGATCAGCACAAGTTTCCTCTCTGCCAACATGGGACTTAAACTCAGTCTTAAGGTATCTCTTTGCCTCCTTGATTTTTTTGTTCTGCATCCTTTACCCAGGTAGCCTCCGATCCATAGTCTCCAAGCGTCTTAAGCACGTCAGTGACATTGTCTATGGCCTCCGTCCCTTCTGCTGTAGTGTTGTCGAGTCCCTGCAAAGATTTTTGCATTGAGGCACCACACACCTCTATTATTCTGTAGAGTGAACGCTGTCCTGCTGGTTCAAAATTCTGCTCTTTGCAGTAAACTGAGTATTGCTCAATTATTCTTGACGGTATCATAGTCCTTATAACTGCCGGAATGATAATGCTTCCTCCCGTATCGAGCTTAAGCACTTTTGTGCCAAATGCTACGTCCTGCAGCATCTCAGGTCTTGCGATGTAATCGATAAAATGATCAATTTGAACGGGTGAGATTCGGGAACGGAAAATTGGCTCTTGCGGAACAGGCAGACCTTCACCAACTTTGGTAGCATGCTGTCGAGCTTCATCTATTCGCCATTTTGAAAGTGTTGGTATCATGCTCATCAACTGGGACCTGCTAAAATCATTGGCAAAGAGAGAGAGTATCTGTCGTTTTGTTTGCCACGACTCGGCATGGTTATATGACTTGATCAGAACGTCGATTAGCCCAGATTTCGGATCAAAACTTCTACGTCTAGTGGCACCAGCAGAATCCTTATTTACTAATCTTTCCTGTCGAAGAGTGGTCCATAATTCCTCTTCCTGTCCAGGGCTAAGGACCGACAGTGCTGTGCAGATGCTTTCTTTGGCCTTTCGCAGATAGTACTTTTGCTGTGTTGTCGATATATCATCCCAAGACGTATTCAAAGTTGACAGAATAGGTGAAATTCTTCCTCCAGATAAAGTGCTAATGGTATTGTTCAGTAGCTGCCTTCTCTGTTGCTGTTCCTCTACTTCGTCGGACCAGATACTGATTTCTTCTTCTGGGATACTTTGTTGGGATGATTGTGATGATGATGAAACCATCTCTTGTTCTGCATTAGACGTTACCAGAACCCCCTGATCTTCATTCTGCTGCGGCAGTTCAAATACATCTTCATCACCAGCCACTTGAGACTGTCAGTGCAATAAAAGGGATATTAATTACATTTCCATAATTTTTCTGTTACGTTGTTACCGAGAATGGAGCCACAGAAAAGGGAGTTACAGGACTCCTTAACGAGTAAAAACCACTAAAAGTTGCAAACAGACTAAAACCTGAAACCGAATTTTCGATTTGTTGTCATCCAAAAATTTTGCGATCATGGCAACGTGACGTGACGTAACGACTTCTCTCTATTGCATTCAAACCTTTCCCGGTACTAGAGCCTACCCCTCGTCCTTACATTAGAGAGACTTAGAATCACGGCAAACAGCAAACGTCGATTTGCCGCGTCTCTTTTATTGTAGTTTACTAGTCATGATATCTACACAAATAGAAGTTTCAACTGAAAGCGATCTATACAAAACTGATGTACTCACTATACCTTAGTCGCTTTATTTTGTTATAATTTTTGTTTTAATAATTTTTTTAAATTGATAGATTTGTTACGTAATAATATGTTAGAGCAAGCATTTATGAAAGTAAAAATGTTCTTCCCTTTCTCCAAAATAAAAATCTTTGTGTCACATTTACACCCTTCCCCCTCCCCCGTAAAGGACACTCTCTACAACACCCCCTCAAAAAGTGGCCGTCGTAGAGTGGTACTGGTCGGACTGCATCAAGCTTGCAGGTCGCTAAAAAACGTTAGGGTGGGGATAGCTAGTCCATCTAACTCCATCTATTTTCAAACTGAAAAAAGAGACATTAACTTTGGCAATGCTATCTATCGCTTTTTCGTTCTCAGTTCCTAGCTTCCCAGCAAATGATACTTTTGTTCCAAATTCCCTTCCCTCCCCCGAGTTTCCCATCCACGTTTCTTTCACGATTTTTCTGTTGTTCTTCTGTTGTTTTCTTTTACAGTCTTGGATAGGTTTTTAAATATTTAAACCTGTTGTTAAGTGTTTCAGATGCCTAGCTTAACTTGCGTGACTAAAGAAAGCAAATACACAACCTGCTGATCGCCCCTTCCTCTTTCAGAGTCTTCTTCATGGCGTAGTCTGTAATGCTCTGTGCGACACTTTACACAAATAGCTAATACAAATGAAATGGATAAAGATTAAAAATGTCACTCTTAATTCAAACCCCAAAAATCGAATTTTATACATAGTTTGTGGGACAGCTAAAATTTAGACATTGAGTTTCAATCTTGTCATCAGTGAAAGTGGAAAAGTACGAGCACTTAAAACATTTTAAGAAAATAGCGCGAGATGAATGATTATTTTTATTTGAAAAAATTTTCCTGTTATAAAATAATCTGAAAAACGTTTACAGTTGTAGTTTATAGTTCCTGTTCAAGTAGGCGTGTCACGCTGTAGCTTCTGTCACGACAACACTTGAAAAGACTTTTTGTGGCAAAAAAGGCTTCCGTTTAGCCTGCGAAGCGCAGACGTATTTCCGGTGGTCGCTTCTCTCCCTCCGTTATTTTTCGGAGGGAGAGAAGCGACGACCGGAAATACGTCTGCGCTTCGCAGGCTAGCTTCCGTTCTGAATAAAAGTATCTTGCTTGCTCACCCCATCCTGTGCTTGAAAACTTTCTTCGCGCCTTTTCTCCCGACCCGACTGACTGCCCCTGGGTCTCCGAGGATGGCTCACCCTTGTTTGATTTATGGCTCATCCAAGGAAATTTACCCCACCCCCCGCGCTTCTGTTGATATAGGGCCTCTTCATATGAGCCCGGTTGACCGGCTGGCTCGGTTGCCGGGATGAATTTTGCCTTGGGTTCATATGAGAAATTTCAGCCCGGTTTCCGAGATGAGAAAAGGTCAAAGATCCTGGGTACGAGTTCTGGCGCCAAATTTGGGAAACAAAGCAACATAGCGAAACACAAACATTTTAACTTTCGGGCCTATCTTGGCATCGGTAACTCTTAAAGCTGTATCACTGCAGTTAAATGGGATGCTTATGATGTGGAAAATACAGCAGGCAATGCAAGACGATGCCATGCGGACCGCCAGAATTCATCCCGCCGTTCATCCCGGTAACCGGGATGATGTGTTCATATGACAAAATTTCCAGCCCGCTTACCGAGATCTCGGGAACCGAGCCAGCCCGCCCTCTCATATGAACACATTGAAAACTTTTACAAAGGATTTAGAGGTGAGGCGAGATCTCGGAAACCGAGTCAGCCCGGTCAACCGGGCTCATATGAAGAGGCCCATAGTGGCGCCTTAAAATTTGCAACTTGATGCCAGCGCTTTCACTACAATAGTCATACTCGATACGCCTAGAGCCTAGAGCCTTTCGTGATATTTATGGGAAACGTAATTTACCAGGTTAGATCGACAAAAGGATTTTAAAGTAATAAGAGACACTCACCGGACCCAACTGGGACAGCAGCATTGTGTAAAGCAAAGATTTCCTTGGACGTTGCGTAATTGACACGGCGTGGGTCCTTGACCTGCTTGCGTTGACCTTCGTGCGATGGATAGCAACATGTCGAACTTTTACGACCTCTCCAGTCGACTGTCAGGTCTCTTCTGTGTTTAGGACAGATGGTCATGGCTGCTACTCTGTCTTGAGATAAATCGAAGTGTCCTGCTCTGTTCAAGATGAGCTCCTTCTCAGTGATTTCTATTCCTTCGGATCGCCATCCTCGCTTGCTACTCACACCAAGTCCCAGTAACTGTGGTGTTATGTCTTCTTTACAAGCATCCAGCGGCAGAACATTTGTACTAGATCCGTAAGAACTACAAGGTGATTCTTGTGAAGCGAACGAACAGTTCATATTTTAAAGCAAGTCTGGTACAACAAAAGTACGCAAATTTCGGCGAGTCGTAAATGAAACCTGATAACCCAGCGGCGCGCGAGACATACAAATTTATAGATGTTGCTCGATCTCAAATTACGCAGCTACAATTATACGTGTAAGTCGTTTATTAATTTCTTAATTTCATATTTTGGCCAAGAAACATTTTCTGCAAAATCCAAGTAAAAAGTATTCTCCTGAAACTTTATATGACTGAAAATTCGTCGCACAGACAATTTAAAAATCGTCCATTCATTTCTTTATAATTAATTCTAATTAATATGTCTGCTTTATAATTTGTATCATACGTGTACGACTGCAACGGTTTCCGCTGTTCCAAAGTAAGGTTGATTTCTTTTCATTGCAGTATCCTTTCCAAATTATTTTTTTCTTATACGGGTGATGAAGTTTTCAGCCGTCTAAAGTTACAATTTAAAGGCCATTACCAAAAAGCAAGGTTACATGCTTTATGCAAAATACCGCAAAATCACGTTCGCGAAAATAGGCTTCCTCTGAAAAGAGTTTCTTGTACCAATCAATACTTTTTTTCTTTTGACTTAGAAGGGTATAGACTATTGTAAAATGGAATTATTTAACAAATAAACCGCCGCACTTTCAAGAAAATGGGCTTAGAAAATCGCCGAAATTCGCTGTCCTGTTACAGTCACGCAACATACCCGGATTAAAACCCTTGGGCAAAATTACCGTTATACTAAAAACTTGATTTTATGCATCCAAAACGTTTATTTTAAGGTACTTTAGCGTCAGAAAAAAATCTGTGCACTAATTCCTTAAGGAAAAATTGTTTTAGACCCGAGAAATTGCCATTGTTTTTGGTGGTTTTTAGGGCTTCCCTTAGCCAAAAACAAGGGGGGTGGTCAATCTCGAGAGTGAAAAGCCGGGAAATCTTGTTAATGTCACCAAAGTTAATCTTATCAGCTTGGTTCTTAATGCTGAAAAAATAAAGGAAATCGGCTGACCCCAATCTTTTGGCACCGCCCGGTTTTCTCTGACAATGACTCTTAAAAGCGACAGTCAGGAAAAATCGAGCAAAATCTTAATTTCATGGCTAATTGGCTTCTACCTTGCTTCTATCGTAAAAGGTACCAGAATGATTCTGACGATACACTTTACTGTGGTATTAACTATGAATTTAATCCACGTCACTCTTAAAAGAGTGTCCCTTTAGAAGATACACA